TCTGTGCAGTGGAGATGCCCCTACGAATTGCGTCAATCTTGTTTTTGAAATGATTTGCAATCTCGTGAGCAGTGAGTGAGGTACTGGGTGGAGGTGGAGAAAGTAGAGAGTTAAAAGTAGAGAAGAGACAACGAGGACTGGATGACAAGGTATTAATAAAAGTGTCAAAGTAGGCTTGTTTGGCAACATGAAGGGAGGAATTGTTTAAGAAAGCAGATTTATATAGGGTGAATGCTTGCTGGGATTTGGTTTTACGGCACAATCGCTCCAGCGCACGACTATGTTGTTTAAGATTTCTGGTGTGGTCAGTCTGCCAAGGTTGTAACGGTCAGGGCCTGATGCTTCGTGTTGTTTGAGGAGCAAGTGAGTCTAATGCGGATGAAAGGTAACTGTTGTAGACCGCAGTGGCCAGGGCAGGACAGGAGAGAGATTCTGTCATAGAGTTTGTCAGTTGCAGAGTGGAAAGGAGCAGGGTTCAAGTTGTGAAGGTTTCTGCGGGTAATTGTTTGCCGCTTGGAGGAATAGGTGTTTGAAGACGAGGACATTGTAAAGGTGATGAGATTGTGATCAGAGAGAGGAAAGGGGGTGTTTGTGAGGTTGTAGGGAGTGCAAAGATGGGAGAAAACAAGGTCTAATGTATTCCCATCAGAGTGAGTGGAGGACTGTATATACTGTGCTAATGCAAAAGATAAGGTTAGGTTAAAGAGTTGGGATGTAGCCGGGTTATTGACATTAATAGGGATGTTAAAATCTCCGAGAATGATAGTGGGTAGTTCAGAGGAGAGAAAGTAGGGTAGCCAGGCAGAGAAATCATCAAGAAAGCGAGACACTGGTCCAGGAGGAAGCTAGATCACTGCAATCTTCAGAGAAATGGGAGAAAACAGCCGGATGCAGTGAGTCTCGAAAGAAGACAAGGATAGAAAGGGAGGGTTAGGGAGGACTTGAAAGGTGCTCAGTGGGGATAGAAGCAAACCAACCCCACCACCTTTCCGACCACTGGGTCTGGGTGAGTGGGTCCAGAGGAGCCCTATATAGGAAAGTGCTGCGGGAGAAGCAGAATCTGCTGCTTGGAGCCAAGTTTCTGTAATTGCTAGTAGGTTAAGGGAGCGGGAGACAAAAAAGTCATGGACAGAGGTGAGCTTATTACAGACAGAGCGGGCATTACAGAGCGCACATGAAAAAGGGAGGGTGGTTTTTGGGAGCACGGGGACTGATATTAAATTGAGGGGATTGCGGCTATTCCCGGAAGTGGTGTGGGGGTGAAATACTGGAGGACCAGGGTTTGGGGAGATATCCCCAGAGGTTAGGAGAAGAAGGGTGAGGAAAGTAACATGGGACCGGGATGTACACAAGTGCACATGCCTTCCAGTCCTGGTGTTTTGGTCAGCAGGAGAGTGAAGTATCAGCAGGAGGTGATGAGAGCAGTAGTAGGGAGATGGTAGCAGTGAGGGTGAGATGTACAAGTTTTGGGGTGGAGCAGAGGGGTAAAGAAGTGAGATTTTGGGAACGCAGGAAAGTAATATGAAAAGGAGGAGTAGAGGGGACATATTAAAAGGTACACGGAGTGGGACTCAGACTTGTAAGAGATGTTTCCCAGGGTGTTTGCTTGCAGTCTGTCCAGCATGCAGTAGAGTTTCTTGTTGTTGTATCTTCCTGCTGCTTGAGTTATTCTGCTTTAGTTCAACTGCTGTGTTTAACTGCTTCTTCGCACTCTTATCAACACAGCACTCATGCAAAAGCAGCACCCCATCTGTGACTGTGCCCGCCATTTTATCATCAAGAGTGAAAGAAAATTCCAAATTTTGGGTTGTCCCCAGAACAGGAATCAATAGGAAATCTTCCAGTGGGGCGCTAGTTCTAGTGACCCTGGTAACACAAGAAGGAGTTCCCCTCCCTTTGGAGAGATTTCCCCTCACTTCCTGTTTTGGCTATGGGACAAGAAATGGGGGAAAATCTCCGCAGTGGGATACAGACAGATGGCAAAAAAAAACTGACATTGGTTCTAACCCTCCCTTACGCTATCCAAAATGAAAAAACGTTTTGCCTTTAGTTCTACTAGCGGGCAGCGGCTGCAGCATTGGGAACATGTTACATTTTCCACCCTAAAACCGTGTGGAACAAGTAATATGTTCCCAATGCTGAACTTCTACTTTAAGTAGCTGATGTTAAACTTGAGGTTGTACATTTGCTTACTGCTCACATTCTTCCAAGTCTCTCAGTCATAAAATACAATAATCTTTTACTGCTTAAGGGCTCATTCACACAGGCTGAAAAAATGTACATTTAGATGCATACAACAGATAGTTTTGTGCACATCTAAATGCAGCACTATAGTAACCAATGAGCCAACACACACAGAGATTAATTATGAACACAGGCAGAAAAGATGCTGTATTTAGACACAATCAGCAGGTAGTTTTGTACACATCTACACACAGCACTATAGTAATAAGTGAACCCATACACAGAGCTGCAACCACATGAAAATGTTTGCTGTGTTTAGTCAAACACAAAAAAGTAGGAGACAGCTGCAGATTTTTCTCGTGTGGTTATAACCACGCGTATATAAAGAGGAAATGCACTGCATCTGAGCATCACAAAGAAAATCACTTTGAAAAACACCTCCCAGCATTTCTGTCCATCACCATCTTGAGTAAGGGCAGATGATTCATGTAGCATTTACTTCCTAAAATCCATCTGCCCCTAGCTCAGGCAAAGGCTGAGTTGAGAAACCTCCCTCCTTAAGACTGCTGGGATGTTTTACATCATTTGCCTAGGCATAGAAACCAAGAAGTAACTAAAGAAATGTTTTAAACAAGTAAATATCATATACTTTCCTATCTATTTACTAATGCTAGCAGCAGCATAAGCAATAGCAATAGTCCATGTTGATTGAGAGTGAAGTTCCTCTTTAACCACTTCAATACCGGGCACTTATACCCCCTTCCTGCCCAGGCCAATTTTCAGCTTTCAGCGCTGTCGCACTTTGAATGACAATTGTGCGGTCATACAGCACTGTACCCTATGACTTTTTTATAATTTTTTTTCACACAAATAGAGCTTTCTTTTGGTGGTATTTAATCACCACTGAGTTTGTTTTTGTTAAATAAAACAAAAACACCTGAAACTTTGAAAAAAAAAAACACACTTTTTCTTCATTTCTGTTATACAATTTTGTAAATAAATAAAATGTCTTCATAATGTATTCTTTTACATTTCTTTGGTGAAAATAATAATAATTGAATTTGTTTTTTTTTCAAATGTTTCTATTATTTTGTTTATTTTTTATTAAATTTTTTTTTTTTTACTATTTTATTTTTTAGCACACTGTGACCAAAGCAATACAATGTTACCATAGTAACATCAAAGTACTCTGGGCAAGTGATAAGGTTTTTTTTTTTTTTAACACAGTATGATTGCTAATACCAATGTATTTAATTGATATTTGCAATCATTGTTACTGAATGAAACTTGATTCATTCAGTCTTTTGTTGTGATTAACTGTGATTGAGCAAAGCTGATCACATGAGGCAGATGGGCTGTGATTGGCCCTGTCTGTATCATGTGACTTCCTTGACCAGTCACAGCGGTCACATGACAGTGGCAATGGGTTGGTGTAGTGATATGTCATCGGCTGTGTCCCGTGGACACAGCCGATGACAGATCGCGCCACTGGGCGGCCCAGCGGCCGCGTGAGCGACTCATTTTGACAGGATGTTATCTGACTCCAAGTCACAAAGGTGTGTCCAGCCCGGCTGTCAATCTGCTATAGGCCAGGCGGGAAGTTAAGATGCATATTTTACACAGGATCTTCCATGCAGAAAATACGTATTTAAATGCAGCGCTTTTTCTGCCTGTGTGAATGAGCCCTAATTGATGAATGGATAAACAGTATCACTATGTGCTCTTGCTCTGTGCACATCATCTTGACGTTTTTCAGTTACACTTTAAATAAGCAAGTCAATGTCTGTAAATTCTTTAGAGGGAAAATTGTGAATACTCAATGAGATTTTTAAACTTTGGCAAATACCTAGATGATGCGGAAGAGGATCAGTGATACATTGAGAGTGATTTAAAATAAGATCTTGGCTAAATTCATATCGCCCTCTTCAACACACATTCACACAAACTTCACTATAGATGTCATGTAGGCTTAAGAAGGTTGCAAGTATAAGGTAGAATCGATAGTAGATGTTTCAACACCAGCTATTCAGGATTGCAGAAACCGGTCGCAACACACACAAGACTCCTCTTACATTTATAAAAAATGAATAGAGAGCCAGAATTACACTTGGCATTCAGATCTGATATTTAATACATATGTGATGTGATAGTTTGACCTTGGACTTTTAAGTTCCGGTTTACAGTGATGTGCATTTTATGTGGATTAGATCTGATCCAAAAGGCTAGATTCACATGTCATCTAAAAAAACATTGTTTGCTATGAATGTATTTGGTGCAATTTTGAACTGTTAAAAAAAAAAGGGTCCTGTGCAAGTTTAGTGCAGATTCGGTACAAATTTTATCTCCAGCTATGCCAAATCCCCTCAGAAATCGCTTTAATTTGCATTAGAATTGCACCTGTCACTAAAGAAATCACACTGAGATTACATCAGATTCCCACTGCATCAATGTGAACCTAGTCTAAAACATTTCTTTACTGTTACTTTTTGCAATATAACTCCCCCTTCTTTTTAGTCTTTTAAACAAAAAGTGTATGATTTTGATATTTTGTATAAGGTATTTAAAAATGTAATTTGGCTCAGACAATAATAATGTAAAGTCTGTCCCCTTGTCCAGGAAATGAAACATTTTATATATGGCTGAATTATAAAATTTTACAACTATTTAAACCCTTTATGAAAGCTTTATGGTGTGAACACATCTGTCATGTTTGATCTTACAAATACTTACACTTCAGAAGAGTATGGTAAACATTTTTCTTTTTAAATTGTAGGTTTGCAAATATACATGATGCTGAAGTGCCTAGGTTGTGATGAATGTATAACATGGCATCATCAGAATCTCTGGATCAAGACATTCCGTTGTTCAGCCTTTCACCATTCTGGGCTAGATGCCTAGTAGGAGTTGTGTCTTTTGTGTGCTTTGTAAACAGTTATAATGGCAACTTTGTCTTCGATGACTCGGAGGCCATCATCAATAACAAGGTGAGGGCTGACATATTTTACTGCCTGTACAAAAATGTATTCTTTCTTAACCACTTCAGCTCTTCTACCTTTATACCCATTATGGACTTTTTACATTTTTGCTATGGGCCTGTTTATTCAGCAATAACTTTGCCATTACCCAAGTTACCAGAGTAATAAATACATTGTTTTTTGAGGAGGATAAATTGGGCTTAATTTTGACAGTATTGTCCTGTATAAATATAATTTTGTATATGTGATTTAAAAACAAAAAATGTAAAAAGAACAAAGATTAATTTAAATAAGATTAATCTGACAATCCGACTGTCAGCTGGAAACGATCCTATGGCTCAACAGCTGCCCAACCATTTCCGCCCAACCATTTCCACCCTCCCACTGCCATTTTTCTGGGCTTCACAGTTCCATCTGCAGGCCAGGGATCTGCATGGTGAGTGCTGTCAGGTAGTGGGCAGTGAGACTAGCGAATATATGTTCATTGATCTCCCCTAGCTAGAATGAACACAGAAAGGGTATGCACATCACTTCAAGGCTCAGTTGTCACGTTCCCCAGTCACTGTGGTGCGATCTATGCTCCATTGCACATATTGACAGCAAGGGTGGGGGGTTTACACTCCCACCTGCTAGCTGTGTGTAAACCTGCTGTCAGGGAAAAGTGATCCCATCCCGGGAACATTGAGCCAAATACCCCAACCACTCCCCCTCCCCCATGTGCGTCCTTCATGATAAATAAATAAACTTTAGTGCAAAAATATAAAGGCACAACCAAGCATATAAACTCCCACATATTGATGACCTGTAGGGTTTTTTTTAAGCATCCTCTATGGAAAATTTAGGGTAATGAAGGTTGTTGCTGTTTCACGGGCCCATACATATTTATATTTTACCAACAAATTGGATAGCCTATTTCATGTCTGTGCCCAAAAACTAATTTTAGTTTAGGTTTTAATTAAACTTTTTGTCTTAAAGTGTTGTGCTAAGATTGTGTGATGTAGAAAATTGGAACTACTGCAGTTTTATTCTCTATAGGGTCTTTGCTTTCAAAAAATATATATTGTTTTGGGGATTTTCGTAATCTTCAAGCTCAAAATATTTTTTAAGCGTGTGCAAAAACATCTTGACATCAAAATGGTTAAAGGTGAACTAATCCCATAAAGTAAAACTGTTTTTCCAAGTTTTGAATATAGGGTGAAGTGTTGGAAACACTTTCTGTTGCTATGTGTGTCCCCACCAGGAAGGTCTAAACTCAGCTATTTGTTCTGTGGACTAAATGGGAGGGAATGTAACCACTTGAGCTCCAGAAGGGTTTACCCTCTTCATGACCAGAGCATTCTTTGAGGCAGCTGCAGGAATCATACCAGTATAACCACTTAAAGTCCATCAACATAACGGTATGTCACTGGTGCTTGTTGGGCATACATGTTATGTTCTTTTTTATGCAGCCTGTGGACTGAACAAAAAAAAGAAAAAGAACAGATTCCTCCTCCATTCATATCAATCAATATGGATGAAGAAATCTTTGCCAGAAAAACTGTGTAGTATGCCCACCATTGGAATCTACTGCCCTGCATCCACCCACTTCTAATGTTGGGCATACATGTATAGTTCCTTTTTTCATTCAGTCTGGGGGCTAAACAAAAAAAAAAAAAAACTAAACAACAGATTCCTCCATTCACATTGATCGATGTGGATACAGAAATCTCTGCTAAAACAAAAGTGAAAAAAAATATATGGCGACGCATAGGAGTGACCACTTCAGGTCCCTCATGCTTGGGCATATATGTTCTTTTTTCTTTTTTTTTTTAACTGCGGATGAGACCTCTCCTGCTGCAATGCTGTAGGCACTGATGTATGTATTCTGAGAGCAACACCCTGCTGCTGTCAGAATCAGCTCTGCGGCTGATTGTCATTCCTGCAATGCAAACAACAATGGTACACATTAACAAAATAACATTAACTCAATAAAAGAACAACTTTTTTAGTTTTTTTATTTTACTTTTTTTAACTTTTTTTTTTTCATCAGAACCGTAACTATAAACTTTCAAGCCTTTCATTCTAGGATCCCTCAAAATGTGATAGTTTCCTGACTGTCTAACATCTTTTGAGACCCTTGTGTGTGAATTGTGTGCCCTAGAATGTGCTGTGCTTTACTCTATATTAAAACGCCACTAGTGTGTGGAAGTAACGGAAGCAGTCCTTGAAGCAGAGACCAGGTTGGTCAGGTCAGAAGGGACAGAAAAAAAAACGGGTGTCTCGTCTTATTCCACGTCTACAACAGACACATCTTTTTTTGGGGGGTAACCTTTGGAATGGGGTACCAGGGAGGACATCAGGAAAATGCCTCTCTTGCAGCTGGCTCACTGTATCTGGATTTGGGCCATAGCACCATCTGGATACAAAAGGGTGATGATGGTCGCTTCCTGAAATTTTAGGAAGGTATCCACTTCTTCCTGGTGCTTTGTAAATCACAAAAGCATTATGTATTAAAATAGAGAAATACTTCTTTTGTACCAGTGTCTAACTTTGCCCCATCAACATTGGTCTGTATTGTTGGGGGAATCTAGCAATTTTTCTGTGGTTGCAGGAAAAGAAAATCGCATAATCTTCAGCCATGTCTTGACCATCCATGCAGATAAATTTCATTATAAACAAATGCTGTTTAAAGTAATTTTTAAAAAATGCAACCAATCGGCTTCTATCTTCTGCTTGTTCATTTAAGTTTTGAAAATGAAAGTGAAAATAAAATTTGATTGGTTGCCATGCACAGCTGCTTCAGTTTTGATAAATTCCCCTAAATCTCTATAGCTCAGGGGTCAGGAGAGCAGAATGCACAGGGTACTTTAAAGAGTGATCATTTTATTTTTTTTACCATTTTGCACAGCATTTTAGTATATATAGGGGGTTATTTACTAAAGTTGGAGAGTGCAAAATCAGGCTCACTTCTGCATAGAAACCAATCAGCTTCCAGGTTTTATTGCCAAAGCTTAACTGAGCAAGCTGAAGTTAGAAGCTGATTGGCTCCCATGCACAGCTGCACCAGATTCTGAGTGAACAAGTTTTAGTAAATCTCCCCGATAGTGTCCTGTTTGTGTTTTTAAATGTGTATTCCCCAATTGACTAATGTATTTACAGATATAAAAGTGAATTTTAGTTGTACTTGGAAGGTTTGCAGTATACACTTTCTCCTAAAATCCGACAGGAAAAAGCAGACTGATGATGTAATCTTAGTCTACTACTGACAGAAGGAAGCATTTCCTTTGTTTTCCCCTCCCATAGTGATCACTCACTCGCAGTAATTTCTGCTAAATAACAGAGTGAGAGGCAGAAGCAGGGGGAATAGCTGTGTAAACAAACCCACGAGCAGTCAGCCAATAGCGTAAAGCACAGGAACCAAGATTTACTTGATTGCATCATCCCAGGGTCAAAAATCTTAGACCACGGAGAATACCGTATTTGCCGGCATATAAGACGACTGGGCGTATAAGACGACCCCCAACATTTCCACTCAAAATATAGAGTTTGTTATATACTCGCCGTATAAGACTACCCCCTCTTCCGCACACCTTCCACACACCAAATAAAACGTAAAAGAACATCAGATTTGATTTCAACATCTTAATTTATATTCGCAGTATACCCCTGTGTGCATTTATTGTTACCGGTTTCACATGAGTGCCATTAGTATTAGTGCCACTACAGTACCTGTCATTGTCACCATTGTACGCGACCGCAGCGCCTCCGGCCAGTCCCTGCATCTCCCTGTAATTGGCACTAGTGCGCATGTGCGAGCTCTGCATAGACAAGGGGCGGGCCGGAGCGCCGCTGCTTCCCGCCGAGCAGAAATGCTGGCACCCCTGTATCGCTGCTGATGCTCGCCGCAGCCACGCTGATGACTTGCTGCGGCCGCACTGGATGGTATGTAGAATGAGGTGGGCGGGCGGGCATCGGGAGGCCACTATGGCAGCTATATCTATCCCAACTGAAGTGCACCCGGCGTATAAGACGACCCCCCCACTTGGAGGCATGTTTTTCAGGGCAAAAAAGTCGTCTTATACGCCGGCAAATACGGTACATTGACCCTGTATCATAACTGAACAAAGATGTAACCAGTTTTCTTGAATATTCCCTCATGAGCATGCTCCTGTAATATTTGACATAGATATACGATTAACTAATTCGGGCAAAAGTAGCTGAATTCAGATACTGTGATGTCATTTCTGTTGGTATCCAAAATAAGGTTAATTTAAAGATGACGTTTTATTTCTATATAATATATTTATTTATTCATTTTTGAAGCTCTACAGCTTCAGTGACATTACATACCTGTCCTGAAAGTTGTCCCACATCATGCTGGCAGCTGGATGCTGGAGAAATCTTCACTGCAGGGGTGCTGCACCGTTTAGGAGACATTCACATCAGCAATAGCGGATCACGTCACTGAATTCAAGGCACACTGAGTGTGTCCTGAATACAGAGGGCCGTGCTGCTATGATGAATCTCATGCACATGCATGGGAGTGACATCACCGTTGCCTGATCATTCACACAGCAGGAGACTGTGAACTCAGTAGGAAGACTGTCTGCAGATGGGGACACCAACAGCAGTGACAGCTCAGCGCTGGAGTGTTCAGTATAAAAAAGGTAAGTCTGCCATAATGTGCTAGTATAAAAAAAAAAGTTGTAGACATGTTTTCTGGAAGTTTAGACACAGGATGAGGCTGGGGCACCCCTAAATTAAAGGTTTCTCCAGGATCTAGCAGCATGACATGGGACATCCATCATTCAGGTAATTACTGTCACTAAAGCTGTGGAGCAAAAATTTAAATCTGCTAAACTTCAGCTTAAATAAGGCCATAAGACATTTGTAAAGGCCAGCAATACAGTTAAAGCAATTGGTATGACTACTGTAAATCACTGGGTTATTACACATCATATCATTGCTGTATGTGTTTGATTTCAAAGTTCATATACAGTATCAATGACATTTGTTAAGCGCAACAAATTGATTATAGTTTTTTTTTTGCATCCCCTGTTTATAGTGCTACTTTTTATATTAGGAATATACTAAATTGCAAAAGCTATATTGGTTTAGTAAGATATTTCTATTCGTACTATTATTATAGGACCTCCGAGAAGATACATCAATTAGTGATTTGTGGCTCCATGATTTTTGGGGTACTAAACTTAGCAGCAATGCTAGTCATAAGTCCTATAGGCCACTCACAGTCTTAACGTTCAGGTAAGATGGTAATCTATTTTTTTTCATATCCTGTGTTGCTGTGTTACATTTTGCATGTTGAATATCTGTTATTCATGTAGCTCCAGGGAATACAAACATATATTGAATATCTATATATTGAATGTCTGATTCTCATAAAATTAGCTTGTCAGCTCTTGTTCAGCTCTTGTTGCTAAATACCAATGGACACAGGGCAGCAATTGTATTAGTTAAAACTTGAACATGTTAAACATACTTAATTTTAATTTATGGAGATACAACCATGTTGAGGAATTATATATCATATATTTTTATATTATCTGTTTATGTACTGTTCCTGCAACATAATATTAGATTCCTTGATTAAATCTTTCACTGCCAGTAATGTAAAACCTATGGCGGCACAGAGCTGCTTCCAGCTGGCCAGCTCAGTAAGTTTTATGTTGCTGGCATTCCGCCTTCTGCTTTAACCTCAGGGTTACTCCAGTGATCCTGAGCTGATAGCACAATTGTCCAGTAAGTAAACTGAATAAAAGAATAGTTGTGACTATCACAATGAGATCCTTTCTGTAGCTCTCCCTGCAGCTCTTCCGGCTTCTCCTCCCCTCCATCTCACCGGCTTCAGCTGCTGCAGGAAGTGCAGGGATGAAACTCTGCAAATGGTTCCCCCCACTAAACCAGTCCCCCTGTTGCACCCTCTGCAGTACTACTGGCTTCTCCTCCTCTTCCTCCAGCTGCATCAGGTGGAGCCATTAGAGGATCAAACTCTGCAAATGCCATGCTTCATTCTCTCCACCTCTCCTTGACTTCCCTGCAGCACTTGATACCACTGTGAGCCCCATCCCTGAAGCTGCAGAGAAAGGAATTCAGGAATGTAATTCCTTTCTCTGCCTCAAAAGTGAGATATCAGGCATTTCTTTAGCCCACTTATATTTCACCAAACTCTTAATCTGACAGGGATTTCTTTAGCCCACTTATATTTCACCTATTCGACAGGGCTGTAGAAAAAAAATAAAAATGTAAAAAACATAGCTGTCAAATTGAGAGCAGTGACCATGCATACACTGCATCTCATTTGGCAAAAATGGAACTGCCTCTACGGGGATGCATGGAACACCTGTGCATTTCCATGAAGGTGAACACAGCCTGGCATAAGCGTACATTATAGTATGCCTCATGTAAACAAGTTTAAGAGCACAGGCACATGGGCACTCTGTCCAGTATAACAGAAATTAATGATTTGTTTAAGCAGCTGGAGCCTATGTTACTCTACAGGGGTGCAGCTGCTTTACGAACACAGCCGCAGGTCCTATTTTAACAGCTGTGCAGGTGAGCATCCAACATACTGACGTGTGCTGGTGTACATTGTATCAAGCACTGCAGTCCATTATTACAATGCATCACAATGCTTGATTTACCGGTAGTTTTCTTTTTTTTTTTTTTTTACTCTACTATTTGTATGCCAGTGCATTGTGACATGTTGCCGCACATTATAACGAACCGCATTGCAATAAAATGTATACTTGCATCATAGTATCACAACGAACATTAATCCAGCATACACATGGCACTGTGATTGGGTGTTAGCAAAATGCATACAACCAGCCAACAATAATAAAATAAAGGCACATTTAAATATGTTGTAAAGTGTCAGTTTGAAACGCATATGTACAGAATTTGCGCAGCTTTTACTTTCTGACTTCCTATCACATTTCTTGAGGTTCTAAATTACCAGGGCAGTACAAAACCCTCCCAAATGACCCTTTTTTTGTAAAGTAGACACCCCAACAAATTTGCTGAGAGGCCTGTTGAGTGCATGGAACATTTTATTTGTGGAAACAAATTTTTGGAAAATGACATGTCACACAGTTATAAATATATAGTGCCACGCTCCTATTTACTTATATATATAACTTAATCCTTGGGGTACATGAATAAATATCTGAACCAATCCATAAATCACTGTGACTAGTGAATAAAAATAATCAATAATAAATAATAGTAAATCGATAGTGAATCACTATAACTGGTGAATCAAAAAAAATAAATAAATTTAGATATGAATAAATCAACAACCTTCATAAATGTGACTGATATCAATCAATAAAAAATCCTTAATTAAATGTGACTGTAAAAGAATAAAACTCAGATAAATACAATCCTAAATCTGTGCCACTCTTATCTGATGTGATCACTCCATCTATATTGTGCAAAAGCATACATAAATGTGCAAGTGCAAATACATAAAATAAAATACAATAAAATAAAATAAAAAGTCTTTCAAATAAGTGCAATGTGCAGGTGGATTCCTTATTCTCCCTCGCCGAGTGCTTAGTGGTCTCCCTATGTGCTCACCTTAATATTTGCCTAAATAAATTCAGGCAAATAAGCTTTTAATCCTTCCAGGATTGATGGGATGATACTCTTATGTAAGATGGTCCAGAAGATAGGTGTGGATCTATAGGAATTCTCCTGTACTCTCCTCTTTTCTCAGTCACATTTATGAAGGTTGTTGATTTATTCATATCTAAATTTATTATTTTTTTTGATTCACCAGTTATAGTGATTCACTATCAATTTACGATTATTTATTATTGATTATTTTTATTCACTAGTCACAGTGATTTATGGATTGGTTCAGATATTTATTCATGTACCCCAAGGATTAAGTTATATATATAAGTAAATAGGAGCGCGGGCACTATATATTTATAACATTGTATATACACTAGCAAGTGAGTCTGTGCAAGTGCCAGCGCACCAAGCACATTAAATCAGCAGACAACTCTATATTACCCACTGAATGCCTCATTTATAATAGCTCACAAGTATTCACTATTTATATGACATGTCACACAGTATTTGCGCAGTGATTTTTCACACACAAATTTTTGTTGATTAAATTATACTTTTTAGAATTTTAATGCACAAAAACACAATAAATTAGCCAATTGTTTGATAAAATATAAAAGATGATGTTACGTTGAGTAAATAGATACCAAACATGACATGCTTTAAAATTGTGCACACCTGTGCAGCAGTGACAAATTCCATACATTTTTAATATCCATAGGCGACGCTTTAAAAGCCTTTACAGGTCAACATTTGAGATTTACACAGGAGGTCCAGTGCTAGAATTACTGCCCTCGATCTGTCAGTCGTAATGATACCTCACATGCATGGTACAGTCTCTTTTTACATACTGCCACGGAACCACCACTTGTGTTTGCTGTTGTGTGCGAGCACGGTGATGGAGGTGGGGGTGGATTTTTTTTTAAATTATTATTTATATTGCTTTTTCAAGTATTTTTACACTGTCCCTTTCATTTTTTTTTTAAATCACTTTTATTGTTATCAAAGGGAATGTAAATATCCCCTGATAGCAATAGGCAGTGACAGGTACTCTTTTCTGAGAAATCTGGGGTCTATTAGACTCTATATCTCTCCTCTGCCCTTAAAGCATCTGATCACACCAAGATTGGTGTGATCAGATGCTTTTCCAAGTTTAAAATGGTGCTGTTTATATCTAGCGAAACGGAAATGATGAAATGCTCATAGCTTGAGTCTCTTGCAGCTCTATTGTCAGCCAGCAGTGACTGTAGCTTGCAGGCATTATCCCAGTATAACTACTCAAAGTCCAGCGACGTATCAGTACATTGCTGGTCCATTTTGGGCATATATGTTAAAGCAGAGAACATGGGCATATAATGAATTGGTCACAAAAATAGAACAGAAACAGGCCACCTATAATGACACGAATGACTAGTGTCATAGTCATATCTCCGACTCACTTAATATGTAAGTGTGGATCCATAAACCCAGAAAATGCATACTAGACAATATGGTAGTGTGACAAGAGCACCCCTACCTGAAAAAAGAAGGTTACTAAATGATCCACGCAGAGTAATATGGATTCAAAGATTACAGGCAATACTTTATTTGATCACATAGATCATAAGGAGGTTAAACATGAGCACGGTGAACATGTCAAACAAATAAAATCATTTTAAAAGCACTTAGCGTCTTCATTTCAGGGTCATTTAGGCAAGTAGAGTACCATATGAGGCAATATAGGGAAATGGTGAGGTTTTGATCCTAGGTTTCCATGAATTTCCAGCTTGTATTAGAGTGAACCATACATTCAGCAGATATGTTCCCAATATAAGTCAGGATGTGTAGAGTAGCCTCCTATTATATGGAAGCTGGAACACAAAAATACACAATAAATGTATGAAAATATAGGAGCTGAATCACGTCCAAACCTCACCAGGCCTCCCTCTACAGTAAATAGTGGACACTTTCATTACCTTCTCAATTGTGAAACTGTCATACCCGCTTCTCAAATGTAGAGACTTCCTGGGTAACCACCCCAAGTGAAACAGAGTCCACAGTACCAAATGATTCTGGAGATATATATAAAAATTATTGTATAAATCACAGGCATCAAGTAAAGCCCTGAAAGCAAAAAACAAAATATGGGTATATTACCATCAGTAGAGATCAAGAAGACTCCCGTCGACTTGAAATAAGATCAGGTCCTTGATGCTTGTTCAAAAGTGCATATGGGGGTGGGAAGCCAGGTAGTCACAGTACGTAGATTCCAAACACATATATTGTGTATGTAGCAGGCCGTAGATACCGGAGTCTATATACCCACTGAAGGGTTTCCAAAATTTACTCAGTCTAAGAAAATTGAAGCGGTTTGAATAGGATATGGCTTTGTCACAGCATACAATGCCTAAGTAGGATAGCGTAAAGGTATATATATATATATATATATATATATATATATATATATATATATATCCTCTAAAGAGGATTTCCAAAAAATTCCCCGAGTATACAGGGTAGATTAGGCCCGTATGACATGCCCTCTTAGCTCCAGGTATGCTCTATAAATCTACACAGCTGTAAGCTTAAATAACTTGCCACCGGTGGAAGGTATATTCCCCTAGGGGATTGCCGTTTGCAAACCGCTGTAGTAGTAGACTTTATGGTAGTTTTCAGAGGGCCTCGTGCCT